TAGGGAAAGGGTAAATGGGGTTGAGATACAAAAAAGGAGCAGTGCTGAATTTTTCTGTCAAGGAACTCCATGGAAGTTAAGGCAGGTGGTGTAGTCAAATAATAAATATAGGGAGGATTCTGTAAAGTGGCCTAGTAAGGGTCCAGACAAATGGTGGTGGAGATGTAGAAGAAATGTCATTTCTGGATGCATTTTGATCCACAGATTTAAGAAATTTTGGTATTGTAGCTACTTTTTATTTGTAAAGCTTTTACCATGTGGCATGTGTGCTCGCTAGAGATTGACAGACAAAGACAGTGAGAAGTAAAGTGAAAAATCATCCTCTAGAAGAATGGCCAAGATACAATCCCTTCTCCTTTAATCTCTTCTTGGGATTTTGGGCATGCACATACCTGTGCCTAGCATGATTGTTCAACCAATGAGTCCAGATTCAAATGAATGTGGTAAGCGATGGGGAAAATCCAGCTTCTTAAACACAACATCACTTGCTGGCCCCTGCAGACACTTTTTTCAAACCTAATTTCCTCTTAATCTTAGGATTTGGGACAGCGAAATTAGAGATATTTTAAGTGGGAGAAGGAGGTGAGTGTGGAGTAGAATAGCTTTTGGCTTTGCAGTCTTTCTGTCTTGCAGAGTATAAAAGTGACCAGGATGGGACTGGCTATTAAAGAGCATTATAATTTGCTCTCAGCCCAGGGTGGAGGTTCAGAATTCAAAACATCAGATTACTGGATATCACTTACTTTTACACATAGACAACAGACCTCCACAGATGAGCCCTCAGTCTAACCTGTTTCTTCAAAATTTGAGAGGTATTTCTAAGCCAACAACACTATTCCATAAGAAGTTCCTTAGGAGGAAAGGCCACTTTTCTTGTCAGCTAAATTGGAATCTGGGGATCAAGAATTAGACAACGGCAGTCAATCTTTTCAAGTTTGGGCTTCCAATCCATTCACAAAGCCATTTTAAAAATGCATTAATGGAGACCAGCGATGGTATAATGATTACATCACTGGACTCCCACATAGTTGACTGCAGTTTTATCCCCGTACCTGGTGGCTTAAAACTCATGTCAGGCACATGTGTGTGCCTGACCTAAACCCCAAGAAGATAATGGAGGAGAAGGGATTGCAGTATGGCCAACCCTCTGGTTGATGATTTATTACATTCTGTCTCTCTCTGTCTCTCTGGTGAGTACACACACCCTATAGCAAAAATCTCTCTAAAAAAAAAAAGATTTAGAATAAAGTATGATTTCAGGTATGATAGAGTTACCAAATGCTAATTGTAGCTCCTTGTATATATGTTTGCACAATCATGTGTGCTACCATAGCAGACATATATGTATATGAGGTGCTTTTTAGCATTTTGACTGTCTTTTATCATTATTTTTGCTTAATGATTATCTTCAAAAGAACCTAATCAAGAAAACAGAAGAAACCAAACTTTTCCCCAACTATACCAACATCCAGAAGGATGGCAAACTATAGGCCTTTAGTCAAGGACCACACAATATATAGAATCATTTTTATCTTACCATTGCATTAGACCGCCATAGAAGTTTAAAAATAAAATTAGTGCTTATTTCCCCTACTTTATGCATTTATATGTTTGCATAAAACCTGATAGTATCTGAGCTATGACTTCAGACTTAGAAGATACTGTCTTTCCTTAAAACCCAAATTGGAGAGAAATACTTCACAACTGGGGGAAGTGGGCTAGAAAAAGCACAGGCTTTGTTTCACACTGGGTTACTGAGTTCTCTGTCTTCACCAAATCATGTGAATGTGGACTGACACTTTATGTGAACTTCATACTGTAAACTTTTTTGGCATTTTTGCATCTTGCAGGCAGGAACGCACATTGTATGCCCTTTGATTTTCTGAAAATACCCCTGGATTGTGGGCATGCTATTTGATATTGCAATCCATTCACTATCCAAAAATAAAAATAAAAAATATGGGGAATATCAATATAAAGGTGTGTTAATAAGGGACAAACATTGAGAATGAGAGCTACCTGTCTCATTATGAGATAACAGAACATAGGACTCAAGGTCAGGCTGATCTGGTGGAGCAGGTATTCAGACAAGTATTCTCTCCAAGAGAAGCTATAAGATGCTGATGCCCAGACATATTCAAAGTGTCCCAGCTGTTTTATGCTTAGAGATTTGACATAGTAGAGAGGGAAGAAGCTCTCAGCTCATCATTGCCCCTTCTCTTTGCCCAAGAATCATGCCAAAATCCTGTGCTCTCACAGAAGTAGGGAAGCATAGGGCCAGTTTAGGGAACAGTGAATGATTTATTCTGGCCAAAGTCTAGTGGACTGGGAGCCAGATAATGAATTCATGAAACACTAGACCTAAGAGTTAAATTATTTAAATTTCTCGCCCCAACAATAATTGCTTATGTAAAGTCTAGGAAAACTGTGTGACAAGCCAACAAGCCTTATGGTAACTTTTTTTGTTTTTGTTTTTATTTTTGTCATAGGGCACATATGCTCACCAGAGGTGAGAGAGGGGTGAGAAATCATTGCCCATGAGTGATGGCCACACTGCAATCCCTTCTCTCTCTTTTTTTGTTTTTTCCCGCCCATGAGTGATGGCCACACTGCAATCCCTTCTCTTTCACTCTCTTCTCAGGATTTTGGGCACGCACATCCACTTGCTCAGTATGATTTTCAAGTCACTGGGCTTGAATAGAATCATGAAGTCAGCCATGTGAGATCAGTGCTTTAAACTTCACACCACCTGCTGGCCCCTAGTGATAACTTTTTAAAGATATATTAATGTTTTAAAGAAAATTTATAAAATCCATCTACCAAAAAATGTCAGTAAATGACTCTGGGAGCTTGGACTCTGGAAGCTATAAGATGCTAATGTCCAGACATATTCAAAGCATCCCAGCTGTTTTGTCCTACTGTGTTTCTTAGAGACTTGACATAGTAGAGAGGGAAGAAGCTCTCAGCTCATCATTGCCCTTTCTCTTTGCCCAAGAACCATGCTAAAATTCTACTTCAAGGATGTTGGGAAAAGCAACTGCATAGATCTTAATGGTGCACCTGAGAGTCACTGAAGCTCAGTAATATCCAAATGTAAAAACCATTCGACATCAGCAATTCTAGTCTTCTTTTCTTTTCTCTCATTCTCTCCTTTCTTTGCTGTTTATTTATTTATTGGGAAAGAGAGAGTGGAGCCCTAAAAAGGGTCATCATGTCATCCAAAGTCTAAACCTGCCTGGATCATGGGTATAGATGTGCACC